ACCTATTATGTGAGAAATGAAGAAGTGTTAATTATAGTCAGTGAGCAGAGGAATATCCTACACGAAATAAGAAAACGGAAGGCTAATTGTATTGGTCATGTTTAACGCAGAAACTGCCTTCTAAAAGAAGTTACTGAAGGAAAGATAGAGGGGCGGGTAGAAGTGACCAGAAGACGAGGAAGAAGACGTAAGAAGATGCTGGATGACCTTGGGGACAGAATAGGATATTCTCATTTGAAGGTGAAAGCTCTAGATGGCATCAAGTGGAGGAACTGTTTTGGAAGAGACTGTGGACCTGTCGTCTTGACAGATTACTGATGAATGAATGAATGTGGTGTTTAATTAAGCAGGTATCACATAAGGTAACTGTCATTTGTTAAATACACAGCATATTAGCAAATATCTTCATATAAATCTATAATCTGTTTTAACGAACAATTCAGCTAAACATTGTCAGTTTGATATACTGCTACATTAGATGGACCATTATGATACATTAAACTTCAGCTCATGTCACCAGAGAGACTGGTAATCATGAGCCCTTTTTTATGTTTTAGCATTCAGAGCTTCTTCCTTCCTTCTCCCACTGATATAACGTGAACATGCATCTTAGATCTCTTCATTCTTTATCTACAGAAAGCATCAGTATTTGACAAAGACAGGAACTGTGTTTTGTTGCTTGAGTTAAAATTTGAGGAATGTATGTCAACACAGTTCTCCTTACTTACTTGGTTTGTACATAGCTGCGTATAGCAGGGATGAACATGAAGGTCCCACTCACAATGACAGTCATCAACAGCTGGAGTGATAACAAACCATAGACTTTCCGAAGAAAACCTGAGCAAAACAGCAATGACTCAGATAGCCATTTTTAAATACACTGTGATGAGCAGAATTGTAAGAAGAGATACTGCTATATTGCTATAGTCCCTTCTGTCATTAAAGGGAACCTGATGCTTCAAAATATTTTTATGTGCTCTTACTGACTTACCTGATGAGAATATGTGGAAATGAGAAAATACGTGTAGGTACTTACCCATGCGGATATTGACTGCAGCCTGCATGACATTATTATTATATGAAAAATCATTCACTATCCATGGCTTTCCTCCAGATTCTAAATCATCCTGTGCAAACATCAGTGGGTCAGTGGCCATATTGAAAACGTTACTGAAACAAAACAAAATTTGTCAAACCTATTTTATGAGACTGTTCTCATAGCAGTATTCAGATTACACTTCATGGCATGTGACGTCACACGGTTCTGCAGATGGATACCAATGTTTTGGTGGAATGTATTGCCTCCATCTTTGGGGTCAATCCAGGTCCTTGATCTTTAGCTTTTGCAGCTGAATCTAATATTAAAGTGTGAATGGATTTTAGGCTTCAACCACCTCACTTGTTCATCCTTTTAAAAGCAGATATCATAATTATTCAGCTGTTGTTTTTGCTATATATCAATGATCTAGTAGCCAGCATTGAACATGGAAGACCAACGTTTCTTTGCTGATGATATTAGTATCCTTATAGCAGGAAATAGTGCTAATGATGTCCAAAGGAAAACAAATAAAACAATAAATGCACTCACAGAGTGGTTTGAAAGGAACGGATTAATTATTAATAAAGAGAAAACAACAGCAATATCCTTTCACCAACCTCAAAAAGTGCAAGTTGAATGCCCATCAATAAAGCTCTATGATGCAGTCATCAATTATACAGAACATACAAAATTTGGGGGAATTTGGCTGGATAAGAATCTAAGGTGGGCTGCACATACTCAACAACTAGCAAATAAATTATGTAAAATATGTTTTGCCTTACAAGTAGTCAAAAGAGTGTCAGGGTTAGAGATTGTGTGCACCTTATATTATGTGTATTTTCAATCCTTGTTACTATATGGATTGATATTTTGGGGCAATTCAGGAAATGCAAAATTGATCTTTAGGTTGCAAAAGAGAGCTATTAGAGCTATGATACAAATCCCAAAAACTATTTGTTGTAAACAATATTTTAAATTACATATATTACCTTTATGATGTCTGTATATATCGGAATTTCTAGTTTACATAAAAACCAATTCGAATGTTTTCATAACCAATTCAGGAATACACTTGCACAGTACAAGGAGAAGAGATGACTTGTTCATAGTGCCAGGTAATGCGAGTCTATACAAAAACAATTTCAATAATATTGGACTTAATATGTTAAATCAGTTGCCACAGTATATTAAAGAGATACCAGTACTATACAAGTTTAAAAAGACTTTGAAAACATTCCTACTTGATCATTGTTTCTATAGTATAGACGAGTTTCTCTTGTTTGGGGTCAAATCCTAGTTCTAATCACTTGTAAACATAATTTCAAGAATAATTAACTTGTAGATTTTAATATTAGTGCATGTTATAGGAATGCCCACTGCCATGTTCTGTATTTTTTTCTTACAGGAACAAGATCGAGGATAGAAGGATTGGGTCTTGAGGCATACAACGGTGTCATGTGTTAAACGATTATATCAGTTCTATTATTAGACTTAATATTTTATTATTATTTTAGTATATGATTATATTATTTATTACATTATTATTATTCTTATTTATTGTATTGTAAAGTATCTGACTTGTCCTATATCATGTATAATGATCCATGGATATGAAGTAAATAAATAAATATGAATTATCCTAAACAGCTGCTCTGCGGATGGTACCCCACATTTAGAAAAACACCAAGACATAATTAATCATGTCCATGCCGAAAACTATTGTTACATATAGGAAATCTCTATAAATGATGTACTGAATCTCTTTCTAATCCACTCAGGTATGTACAAACACAAAATATGTGATGTTTAAATTTACTGCACCCACTACAATCACTACGAAAATTAAATTATGGCTATTACCCTAACCTATTCCATTTGAAGCAAAATTATAAAAATATTAGAAACTATTTCTTCTCCTTTCCAACCAGATAAAATTTTACGTTAGTATGTCCAATCAGTGGCCGCCATGTCGAGAGCCCCCCTCCCCCCCAAGGGAATTAAATTAAAAAATTACGTTAATATGACAGGACTTTGAAGTTCCTTCACTATGTTCATAGTCCAATAAACTGTGCGATAATAGTGCATTATATTTTTACAAATTAGCTGACAGGTCTCATGCCATGAATTTGGACCATATCACCAAGAAACATATTACATGCTTCTCAACGTTAAGCTGTATAATATGTAATGCATTGACATGTAAACTTTCCTGCTTCACCTCTTAATAAAGTGAAACTACTCCCACGAATCAAAACAATCAAACAAATCATAACATTTACTTACTGTCAAAATCGAATGTTTCGATAACTGCATGATATCGAAACATCCAAAAATCCACGTTGCTCTTGTAGGTTCAAGGAGGCCATCTATTACCAAAAATGTAAACTACGCAATTAGAAAAGTGGACAGCTGAAGGTAACGAACAGTATATCGATATCATCGTCACCAAGCATCGAGACACTCATCCATGTTTTGTACAGTGGCGCCACTACTGTGAAACTACACATTCACAACGGACTGGAATACTCAAAATTGTCTCCTACAAGGTTCTGTAACTCCTCTTCTATACTATTTCTTGTTAGAAAATTGTTTCCTTTTAAGAGCACCAAGCGCACTGATGTAGGCTCAATTCATTGCAGATAAGAGCATATTTTCTAAAGTCGTAAAATGCACAATAAAACTAAATTAGAATAGGAGGTTTCGTTTCACTGGGGTAACAACAGGGCCTCCACGCTACTTTACTTTTAAAAAAATGGTTATGAACCTTTTTGGTACTTTTTTGGAAAATTGGTTTTGCTTGTGATGAAGCATTCACAGTTTTCAGGTATGTAATCTATAGGTTCAGCAATTTCAGAATCACCTATATTCACATAATTACGGTATACTTAGACATTAAGTACACCGCCACATCCCTCTACGATCGGGAGCGTTTATTTTAAACATCTTCGATATGGAGAATATAGACCGATTATGCGAGAAATGAAGAAGTGTTAATTAGAGTCAGTGAGCAGAGGAATATCCTACACGAAATAAGAAAACGGAAGGCTAATTGGATTGGTCATGTTTTACGCAGAAACTGCCTTCTAAAAGAAGTTATCGAAGGAAAGATAGAGGGGCGGGTAGAAGTGACCAGAAGACGAGGAAGAAGACGTAAGAAGATGCTGGATGACCTTGGGGACAGAAGAGGATACTGTCATTTGAAGGAGAAAGCTCTAGATCGCATTAAATGGAGGAATTGTTTTGGAAGAGACTGTGGACCTGTCGTCTTGACAGATTACTGATGATGATGACAGGCCTAACTGAATACAAATAAAAGTATTTACTGACTCTAGCTTCTTGAAAAGTTCATAGCCACTCAGCTAGTTACAAAAATCTTCGCCTATTATGGAAAACGAAGTTTTTTTTTTTATATCATGTTCACAGCAACGCGGCGTTCCTGGCCACAGATCCAGAGGCCCGAGTTCGATTCGCGACGCTACCAGATTTTTTCTGAGAAGTAGTGGGTCTGGAACGGGGTCCACTCAGCCTCGTGATGATAATTGAGGAACTATTATAAAGAAATACCTGCTCCGGTCTAGAAAACCGAAATTAACGGCAGTGGGATTTTCTTTTATTGTATTAAAAATATTGTAAATACAAAAAAGGTCTAGGCAATGCCCATCCGGACTTCTGAAGCACATTCTAATAAATATCTCATTCTATAATAGCTGTAACCCCGCGATTCTTAATATAGATCTTAACTTAAATCTGAGAGTACACTGTTAATAATTAGTACAATTACTTCACTTATTTTTCTTACACATCTATTTTATATAAATATAGGAATGTTGTTTATGAAGCAACAGACGCCTTGCAGAAATCTTTTTTCCTCTAGCCTTAATAGTTCTATAACTGATTTTGGGTATCCTTTTTTGCTGTTCTCAGACAAAATGTCCATCATTGTTGCCCGTTGGTCCTCGTACAGTTTAGAGTTTCAAAAGATATATTCCTCTGTTTGTAGCCCATCGCCACATTCGAATTCGACCGTGGACACATTATTAAATCTGCTTAGGCTTGCTTTAAGACTGGTGTGCCCTGCTCTCATACGGTTTATTGACACGAGGTTCGTTGCGCTGACCACGCGACATCCTCTATCCGCAAAAGTTGGCACTAAACTTTGCCGACAAGCGGCAGTCGCTCGGTCGGTATAGTTCGCTTGCGGACTAAAATCAAGGAGTTTATTTTTGTTTTGTTCACAACAACGTGTTACTGGACGCGATTCTGAGTCAGATTAATACAATTAATACATCCTATTTCTTTAAGATCCACTTCAATATTGGCATGTATTAGTTACTAGATACGGAGTTCGGATTGCTAATTTAATTTACGGAACACATAACACGTAAATAAAAATTATTACAACGCACTTACCAATCACACCCTACACAAACCATTGTAGGATACGTCAAGTCGCATCCTATTATAGTCTTCACTGGGTCTTCAGTGGTCGTTGCTAGGTAACGGTTCTAAACAATGGAGATTTTTAACTTCCATGTTCACGCTTGCAACATCCTTTCTATTGTTACATGCATATCCGTTGCTGCGGAAACATGTTAGCTTGCCGTTGCCTAAGAATGATCGCATCTACACATTCTACTATTCCGGCTCTTCAGTCGCCATTTTGCAATATTATTGTCTGATTTACGCTTAAGCCTTAAATATTTTATTTTCCTTTCGCGTTTTCCGACTTAAAATCTAATGAATTTCTCATCGTTAACATGGGTGATAATTGTGCCACCCATGTCACTGTCCGTATTGTTGTAGGCTTTGCCTAGCACCCGCTGTTTACTCGTCGTTGCTAAGCAATGAAGCTCACGTTATCACACTTGCTTGAATGTGGGCAGTTAACACACTACAAATATACGTATATTATTAATTGTTATGTTGTGACGGCTTTCAATATCATCATCATCATCAGTAATCTGTCAGACGACAGGTCCACAGTCTCTTCCAAAACAGTTTCTCCACTTAATGCGATCTTCTGTTTTTGGAAAGAGACTATCCAGGAAAAGTGATAATGTGGTAGTTTTTCCATTTGCTTTCCACATCGCAGTACAACAGTACAACAGTACAACAGCCAACAGTATGGCTTTCAATAAAGAAATATAAATCCTTGTGTTGAACAAACATAACCTAAAGGCAAGGGATAGCAATAGTTCTATGACACACATGAAGAGGAAAAACGTAACCTGGTCTTATGCAATTTGTAGGCTGACTTGATCTTATGCAACCTAATCCAGCCGAACCTAGCCTTGCATAATCGAACCTGGCCGAACATAATCTAATGCAAGAGAGAAGAGGAACCGAGAGATAATCAGAAAAGACATAACTAAACTAATGTAATAAAATATTATATTTCAGCAGCCTATTGTTTGCTCAAATATACTAAAATATTTACAATATAGTCAATACAAAATTTTTTCTTGTCTCGTAGTTTTGCTTAGCTGTATGTTTCGGTGACAAAGGTACAAATTATAGGGCTAAAATACTGACTTAAATTCTGAGCCGTAAATCCTTTGATATACCAACTAATTGGGAGTTTGCAATATTTTTCCATTCTTTTATAACGTAAAAGACGCATTATTGCTATAAATGAAACAATTTTAGGCACATTTCATCTAATTATTTAACGTCCCAACAAAATAACAATAACAAACAAACAAAATAACCTTGGAAATACGCAGCGTATAATTTCCCATCGATGGCATAAAATCTTATATTAAAACTCTTTTTACGGATGAGACACATCTATTACAACAAAAAGAAACTTCTACAGTTACATTGCATCAGATAGGAATACGCAAAACATCATAAATGTTACAATTGTCACTCTCATTGTAGAGACATAAGCCTAATAATATAGAAAGGACGCCTAAAGTACGCTCCACCTTGACGTCTGCGTGACGCCGACCAGTAGATCTCGAGTCGCAAAAGAATGAAATTCATACAACAGAAAGCACTATTGTCTCGACGCTAAATCGAAACAGATATAAAAAAAAATATTGTAATGAAGGGATAAAGGACGACGGACAAGAAGAAGAACAGGAATGAAACTGCGCAACAGAAGTTTCAAAACCCCTTCAACAACAATTGTGATTCCGACAGCAAGACCACTGTGTGAGCGCAGGAGTGACTTCAGTATGTACTCGATTCTTTCGAAAGGCATGTTTTGGACTTCAGTCTTGAGCTAGCAAGAAGACTGATACAACACATTGCATTTCGTAGGCGTCATGATTCGTTTATCGCGTGTTAACATATGTCTTTTTGTAACATCGTACAGAAATCATCGGAACACGAGGTAGCGTAGTTCATTGAGACACTATGCTACAAGCCAGTAGACCACGGGTTTGACACTCGATGTCATTGGATTTTTCAATTGACCTAATCCTTCCAGCCGCACTATGGCCCTGAGGTCGACTCAGCCTCTAACGGAAGTATCAGAAATCTTCCTGGGAGTAGAGAGCACGTAAGGCTGACATCACCGCCATCTGTGAGCCTATTATGTACAAAACTTGGGAGCCTCGACGTTTCACAAAACTATGGTCCCCCAAAGCCTGTTTCAGGGATAGATTTACACACATCATCAACCGTAAATTTAAAACTAGAGCAAGTCGGTGTAGTGGTGACTTGTATTGATGAGGTGCTGGGTTCGAATACTGACCCAGACACCGATAAAATTACTGGGGTTTTTGCAGCTTTCCTCAGTTACTCCAATCAACTGCCGCGATAGTACATTGAATAGATCATAACCGCTTCCTTCGAAATTCTTTCCAATTAATCATTCATCAGTTATCCTACCATTCGATACTGCACAGCCCAGATACTAACAGCGTCATGAGATGAATCACAAACAAGAAATACTGGGAAGAGCTAATCACCTACTTTCCTTGATACGACACGGAGCGCATAGAAGAAGATTCGTTCAACAATTCCTGTATTGTTGCGTA